TTTGAATCATTTGACAAATGCGAGTCGTGCTTGTTAGACAAAATAACCAAGTTCCCTTTTACTGGAAAAGGAGAAAGAACCACAAAATTGCTGGGACTAATACATACTGATGTATGTGGACCCATGTCAATCATCGCCAGACGCGGTTTCTCTTACTTCATCACATTTACTGATGATCATTCTAGCTATGGTTATGTGTATCTGATGAAATTCAAGTATGAAACACTTGAAAAGTTCAAGGAATTCAAACTTGAAGTAGAGAAACAGACTGGTAAAAATATTTTCACGCTGAGATCAGATCGAGATGGAGAATATTTAAAGGGAGAATTTTTAGATTATCTAAAAGAGAATGAGATTCTCTTGCAGTGGACTCTGTCATATACACCGCAACATAATGGTGTATCTGAACGGAGAAATCGCACTTTATTAGACATGATACCATCTATGATGAGCCATGCAAACATCCCAAAATCATTTTGGGGTCATGCACTAATTGCTGCGTGTTACACACTTAATCGTGTCCCATCTAAATCGGTCAACAAAACTCCATACGAGTTATGGAGAGGAAAAAGACCAAACTTATCTCACATAAAAGTTTGGGGCTATGACGCTTATGTAAAGCGAAATGAATCAGATAAGTTTGAGGTTAAATCTAATAAATGCGTATTTGTGGGATATCCAAAAGAGACAATTGGATTTCAGTTTTATAATCCCGTTGAGAAGAAGGTGTTCATCTCAAGACATGTCATATTTTTAGAGAAAGAGTTTATTCTAGGAGAGGGTAGTGGGAGCAAACTAGAACTTGAAGAAGTTCAAGAATCCACAGATACTGTTGACCAATTAGATGAACCTGAGTCTAATCCCACACCTGTTGACGGACATACTCTTGATCAAGATGTAGAGAACCATGAGGACACTCCAGCTCAGCGTAAATCAAGTAGGATCATTCGACCTCCCANTGACTCGAAGAGATGGCAAGAAGTCATGGAATTCGAAATGAACTCAATGTATGAGAACAAGGTTTGGACCTTGGTCGACCTTCGAGGTAGGATAAAACCAATAGGTTGTAAATGGGTTTACAAGAAAAAGGTCGATGTGGATGGAAACGTCCATACATACAAAGCAAGGCTAGTAGCGAATGGTTACACACAAAGACAAGGCGTTGACTTTGATGAAACTTTTTCGCGTGTAGCCATGCTAAAGTCCATTTGGATTTTGCTTGCAATAGCTGCATACCATGATTATGAGATATAGAAAATGGTTATCAAAAATGATTTCCTTAATGGAAACTTACAAGAGGAGGTGTACATGACACAACCTGAAGGTTTTGAATCCAAAAGAGCCAACAAAGTATGTAAGCTAAATCGATCCATTTATGGATTAAAGCAAGCCTCTAGGAGTTGGAATCTTCGTTTTGATGAGACAATCAAAATGTTTGATTTTATCAAAAATGAAGATAAGTCGTGTGTTTACAAGAAGATAAGTGGGAGCGCAGTCGTATTCCTAATATTATATGTCGATGACATATTATTAATGGGAAACGACATCCCAATGCTTCAATCGGTAAAAATATGCTTCTCAAAGAATTTCTCCATGAAAGATATGGGAGAGGCAGCGTATATCTTGGGAATCAAGATCTATAGAGATAGATCTAAAAGATTACTAGGCTTATCCCAATCTTCGTACATAGATAAAATCTTGAGAAGATTTAATATGGAAGAGTCTAAAAGAGGTTTATATCCCATGTCACATGGGATTTACCTCTAAAAAGACATGTGTCCTAAAACACATGATAAAAGGAATCGCATGGATAAGATTCCTTATGCTTCGGCGATAGGATCTATCATGTATGCGATGCTATGTACGAGACCAGATGTTTCATATGCTCTAAGTGTTACGAGCAGGTTTCAAGCAAACCCTGGTAAGAAACACTGGATAGCGGTTAAGAACATTCTTAAGTACTTGTGAAGGACTAAGTTCTTGATCTATGGACGAAATGAACTAAAGATTCATGGGTATACTGATGCCACTTTCAATCTGACAAAGATGACAGCAAATCTCAATCAGGATATATGTTTACTCTCAACAATAAAGCGGTTAGTTGGAAAAGTTCCAAACATGAGACAACCGCTGATTCAACAATAGAAGTCGAGTACATTGCTGCTTCTGAAGCAGCGAAGGAAGCTGTCTGGATCAAGAAGTTTATTAATGAACTTGGAGTCGTTCCTAGCATTGTTGATCCCATACCTTTGTATTGTGATAACAATAGAGCCATCGCACAAGCGAGGGAACCGAGGCCTCATCAACGATCCAAACATGTGTTAAGGCGATATCATCTAATCAGGGAGATTATACAAAGAAATGACGTAACGATAGAACGAGTTCCCACAGATGACAATATTGCAGATCCATTGACAAAGTCGTTGTCACATCAGAAACATGATCATCATGTGGACGCTTATGATGTTAGATACATGAGTGATTGGATCTAGTGCAAGTGGGAGTTTATAAGTGTTATGCCCTAGATCCAATTGATTTAGGTTGTAAACACTTTTAATATATTTAATGTATTTAATTTAACAAGATCTATTATTTATTTAAATTAATTTTGTGATAAATAATATTAAATAATAGAGTCCGAAGATCCAAGTTTAAGTGATTTGTTAATCACAAAGAGTTGTGATTGTGAGATATAAATTACGTATGATTGGATCTTGAATAATCCGTGGTCGTAAATAATAACGAGATACAAATATCGTTATTATAGATAGATCATCACGTGTAGCATTTTTTACCTGTGAAGTAAGTAGCTGATCTCACGAGCTAAAGTGTGGTGACACTTAAATGAACACGTGGATGTTTTGTTATAGAACAAAACATTGGAGACCCGCTAAGACATTCCACATGGATAACTATCTGAGTGTCAGTGGTTAATTTCTAATGTTTGGTAGTGGAATTGGTCCTATAACTTGAGGTTATCATAGTGCCTTGTATGAGGACAGTCATGCTTTGACGATGTTGGATGTTGCTCTGTCAAAGACCGTTAATACGATATCGTTCGGGTATGTCAAGAACCATATTAAAGTTGTGAATAACCAATATAGGATTCATCACTCTTAGATAGTAAGAGATTGTGATCTGCATTTCATTCAATTAAGTCAATAACGAAATTCTTGGTCAAGGTATACACATAAGTCGAAAAGGAGTTTTCGACTCATATTGACTTAATAGTAGAATAAAAGATATGATCGATAATCGAGATTGACATACACTTCCATATCTCGTAGTTGATCGAATCATATTGACGAAGAGATTATAATTTCATAGTAAATGAACAGTTTTGATTTTGTCATACCACGTAACATTTTCCGTCACATGTGTTGCCCTGATACATTGTTAGATGTCAATCTGGGACGACGAGTGTGAATTTGTGATAAATTAAAAAGGTGTTTAATTTATCAATTTTGATTGGATCAAAATAATATTTCATGTCGTTAGGCATCGTGGTCGGAAATTTAATGGGTCGTGCACAAAAGAGAATTGGAAGATTGCAAATTGCCAATTAATTAATTTAACAATCGTTGGATAAATTAATTAATTGGATTGATTATTTATAGCCCCAAATTAATTAATTGGATTAATTAATTCACGAACCGAATTTAATTAAATGGATTAATTAAGTATTGAACCGGACCGGGCCGCGTCCGTTTGGGATTATATAAATACATGACTAGGGTTTGAGATCCATATTGTTTTCATAATTCTTGCTGGCACAAGAGGAAAAATCTTAGTAGTTGCAGTATATTCTCTGTGTGAATTTTATTGGAGACTGGACAATTGGACAACTGTGAAGGGCAGATTCAAGTTGCTGGAATAAAGATAACGCAAAGGAGTTTGCAAATTCAAGAAAATGTATAATTTTCATCACAGTTTTTATCTAAATACAAAGATGAATCCTGATAGGAATTGAAACTATTTTATTTCCGCTGTGCATGTTTAAGTAAATTTCCAACACTGAAAACGTCTTTGACCGATTGGAAACCAACCGTAGCTTTTTCTTAGTTTTGGTTGACTGTAAGCAAATGAGAAAGTGAACGTATGAGGGAATTTTGGAATTTTAAGCTTTAAAATCAAATTTTTTTTTATTTTTTTTATTTTTTATTTTAAAAAACTTGCCAAAGGTTACTTTGAAAATAGACATGGGTTCAATGATTTCATCACAAGTCCTCTGCTTTTAGACGAGCTCCTCTCTCGATCAAACCCAAGAGGAAGAAAAAAGGTGCAATCACATAGATCCACTCCGTTTTCTTCTTTTTCTTTCTATCTTTGTTATTTTATTTTATTTTATTTTGAATGTTGAGCTTACAAATTGGAATTTTACATTAGTTCAGTTGAAACAAGGGGATAAGTATCCAGTGGTTTTCGATCGAATTGGGGAGGAAGTTTAGTAGCTTTTAGTAAAGTATGGGGCTGCGGTATTCTTTATCCAATCCATTTTCTTCTTCTTCTTCTTCTTCTTCTTCATCCTTTTTCCTACCTTTATCCAAGATTCCCAAATCACTGTTCATCTTGAGGCAGAGTTTTCACATTTCATTGACTCTTCACTTATATATTTAAACTAAAGAAAAGTCTCAGTAAGGATCATTATTGTCTGTAGCTTTTGGTTCATGAACCGTAAATTCATTCGTCCATTTCCTTTATGGAGAAGATTTGGATTATGATGGTGCGGTTGAGGGTAGAGAGTTAAACCCCTCCATTGTCGTTGGACCTGTGGAGGCTCCGATCAAACCAAATATCTGTCCCCGAATATATATTCCATTTTTTTACCTTGTTATTTTTTCTTGAATGATTTCGAATTTTCTGTATGCAAAAAGGTGGAATTTTTTTTTTTCATTGCGACTCTTTGTATATATATATATATATATATATATATATATATATATATAATTAATTAATTAATTAATTAATTAATTAATTTTGGTTATGAAGATTAATGGAGTCATTTGTTCATATTGGGTAATTAGTTGAAAAACAATAAAATTGATTTTGATTTAGAAAAGTGGAATATATCAATATTGATTTTCTGGTAGGGCATTTATAACTTTTGAGATATTAATCACTTTCATTTTCAAATATGTTTTTACTTGTAACATTGGAACTTGGTAATTGTCTCTCGGAAACACAAAATTAATGTTCTTTCCTCCTTGACTTCATATCCCCCTCCCAAAAAATTAAAAATAAAATAAATATGAAATATAGTCTGAAATCAGAGGCAGTGGACCTGAACCATCTCTTGTGAAGCCACAAGGACATATTAAGGTGATATTAATTGTAATTGGAGTGGAAAAAACCATGAGAAAAACCATTTGTACAGAAAAAATGGTTGGCATGCCTTTTAACAGATACTCACATTTTTTGTGGGACGCGCTGAATAAAATATTTTGAAAAAGAAAAAGTGGGACCCCCAATTGTGAGAATCTGTCAACCACCATATCATCCATTTTTCTGAAAATGTAGCATCTCTCAAAAACCATTTGTACCCAGGAGTGTACACGTCTCTCACATGTGAAGGGGCCCCACGCCCAATTAATGCTCCCAGTCGACCTCCCATGTAAGGGGCGTATACACCGGAATGTACACCTCCGTGTACGTGTAGCCGAACCCAATTGGAGTTCATGTAATAATTTTTGTTCTTTAGATTCATTCGCTGTGTTTACTTTATTTTTGGTGTTTTGGATAATTTCCCTATTGTTCTTTTTAATTTCTAGACTAGAGAAAGCATAGCTCGGAGAAAGAGTCCTGCTTCAATACCTGTGGCTATTCTTGATCTTCAATATGGTTCCACTTCAAAACAAGGTAATTTTCACTTCTTTCTTTTCTTTTTTTTGTTTACTTCAGATAAATTATTAATGGTTATCATTTTTTTCCTTATTCTAATTCATTTTTGTTCCTTTTTTAACGAATGATGATGGATAGAGAGTGAGAAAAAGAAGATAGAGCTTTCTTGTGTAGTAAAAACCAAATCATCACCGTTGCTTGCTGCCTTTACAGAGTTACAAAATCATTTGCAGGTCTTATGGAGGATGCTTTCGAAAAAGTTTGGAAGGATTTTATTACAACTCTGTGTAATAGTTGACAACATTGGTTTGCTTGTTGTATCCATGATTGTTATCGCTACCTCTTTGATTGAATTGAGTCGTCTATTCATTTTTCTCATATAATGTTGTTAATCCATATAAATCCACGAGGCTCTTATTGACTGTAAATTATGTCAACAGAAGGTTATGTGCTTTTTGGAATTACTTTAAGTGGGATTCATGATGCTGGGGTTCTTGAAGCTTCGTTTCGACAGCATTGGTTAAAAGAAGGAATTTTTGTTGTTCTCTTCACTACCTTGGATGTATTTGCACAATTGGCCAGCTGAATACAAATCGGTGAGTTCCTTTTAATTTGAAAAATGTGTGGAAGTTAATTATTGGATGTCTTAATTATTAAGTTCAGCATACTTAATGAATGTTAAATCTTATTGCCATTTAATAAGTAGAATTTGTAAATTGATTGGTTGAAGTGGTTTGAGATGCTTATTAACCATGTAATAAGGAATTCGTTATCCAAGCTGGTGAAGTTGACAGGCCTGAAACTACTGAAGATTGGACCTCAAGGGGAAAACATAATCAGGTTGATACTAGGTATGATTTACCTCAAATTTCCATAAGTTTTTTTTAAGTTGTTTAGTGTTTAATGTCTCATCGCTATTGAAATGTACTCAATTAATCATGCTTACTCAGCTTGAAGCATGAAGCTTTTATGCTTGGTACTTCTAGCAAAATAGGATGGAACTGGAAATCTTTTCATTTCAACAACTTCAATTGCAGATGTAAATGAGAAAATTAGTGCTTTTGGATAAGTTTTCAAGGGATTAGAAGTTGTACAAGTCAAACATTTTTGCTTATTTTCAATGTTATTATGCATACAATTTGTGCTTTTCTTCATTAAGAGAACTGGAGTAGGCCTCCTAGCCTGTAAGTCACCATTTATCTGTTTCTTATCCTAGAATACTCTTGAGAAGGAAATAAATACCCCTCAACATAAATTTGGACTCAGCTCCATCAATCATTTCAGCTCTCCATTCAGTTGATTGTTATGCAACTAAATTCTTAGTAACTTCAAGGGACCACAAGTTTTGTTCTACGTTATAAATGGGGGCCTCTTTAGGTCCAGGTAAGACATGCCCCAACTCAGCTGTCATTTTCTTAATTTTTACTTTACTCGTTGGCTTGTAATCTCGTTTCTTATCTTATACACCCACATACTCATTTCGACATACTCATTTTTCGCAACATTTTTCATTTGGTCATTAGCAACCACACTCTCAATATGATTTCCTAGTACTTTGTATCTGATTCTATATATTTTATTGAGAACACATGGTGAATACAGTTCTGTTTCTTGGATATTGTCACAAAAATGAAGTGGACTTACTAAGAAATAAGAAAGAAATGACAAATTACTTTCCTCCGTGGTAAAGATTATTTCCAAATCCTCTATGATAGTTGACAAGTTTAGCAATATTTATAAATGCTAGAATTATCATTTTGCTATTATTTGAAAAACCTGTTTGATATATGTAACCACAATTTATATGCAAGTACTAATAATTTACCCAAAAAATGAGTATATCAATAGATATTTGACGAGTGCATGTGTGTGTATACATCTGAAACACTTCTCAGCATTTAGGCCTTTGCAATCATGTTTGATAACTCCGCAAACACCACATTTGCGAAGTTTTGTGTACTCAATGCACAGTTCTTTGCATCAAACACCACTGTTGTTCCTTATGTTTTTGGAAAGAGTTATAGGACTGTGGCCCAGGGCTTGTAGCAGTTGTGTTGATTGTCATTTCCCCTGGTTACATCTCAAGGTTGGTTGCAAGTTCACATGATAATGAGGGGTTTGCTAAATTTGCGCCGTTGCTCAATTTCTATTTATTTGTCAAGGCTGTGAATACTGGTTCACTTGCTTGGGCTATGGCCTCTGCTTTTGGGTATTTCTTTATCTTTTTAGCATGGGGTGGTTAAGTTTTCATAATTAATTTGATCCCACCATATTTAATGTTTCTGTTGATTACTGGGAAGAGATTGTATGCAGCTTATAATTGCACTTATATTTTGGGGATGTTGCTTGCAATGCAAATTCGTTTGTCGGTATCCAACATGTGCAGTCTGGAGAACATATGGCTGCAATGGGAGTGTTTTTCTTGAGGCAGTTAACACTTTTTTGTTACCCCATCTCCTAAGAAGATCCCTTCTCCCTCTTTAGGTTGGAAAGCATGAATAAAGGCATGTTGAATTTGGTAAATCCTCATTTTACTTTTTATTCAGTAGAATCTGAGAAAAGTTTGCCTTTTAGTTTCTAAGGCAGTTAAAGCTGAATTCTCTTTTGGAAAGCAAGCTGTGGCAGTTTGGTCACAATTTACATTAAATTGCATGTCTATTGTATAGCAGAAACGACAATTTGAATTTGTGTATCGAGGCAACAATAATCCGTTACATTCTTTCATCTATAGAAGCTTCACCCCTTAAGACACAAGCATTTAAAATCATTTAAGGTCCATAACATAGAGGTTGATTTCATGATTTTTTCCTGGTGTCATCTCACTACCAGAGAAGTTTCTAAATTTTGCTAGATGTGACTTTGTTTGGCTGAACAATTTATTGAATTGTGCTCAAGTTCTGTGTTTCAAATTCACAAGTACAAGACACTTGTAATAATTTCGTTGTTCAATATGGAGCAGTCTACTTCACTCACAGTCTAAAACTAACTTTTCTTTCTTTCTCAAACCTAGGTCCTTTAGATGTACTGCTCTATATATTTTCTATATTTATGGTCAATGATTATTGACACTACAATTGTCCCAAATCTGTGATGGTCAATGATTATTGCCACTACAATTGTCCATATCTATGGAGAGTCTGGAGACAACTGTTTAATGGAAGCTCTTTTGTTTTTCTTTCCAATACTTAATTCTGATGCTTCTGAAGACAATTGTAAAGAAATCTGGCGATGTCTATATTCCTCGTTGGCGTTTCTATCCCAGCTCTCGATAGAGACATTCTTTGGGAATTTCAGCCTAAGAACACCTTCGCTAATTTAATAATGTATTCCTGTGCACGGTATAGAGATCTCTTCACAGGTGGAGACTTATATGCTGTAAGTTTTATAGGACTTAAGTTAGAAAGCTGAATTTGAAAATTATTTCTATGAAATCTTACTTCACCTCTTATTGGCACTTCAAATTATTTTATCTACATTTCATTCCATCATAACTTCCCTATGTAGAATGTTTTCAAAAAATAGTTTAATGCAACAACATGTAGCACTAACTCTTGATGCTATGGGAAAATAAGCTACATTAACCCACCTCGCCAATACCCTTTGAAGGTTTGTCTTTTGAACTCCATTTTTATGATAATATAGAACCTTCATAATTTAGCTAATGGGATGTATCCCATTGTAAGATTTTCGAAAGTCCACAGAAAAATTATTGCTAATTGACCGAAGTGAGAAGCAAAAATATTCTGATAAAACCGTTCCTCAGTAATATCATCATGACTCTCGAAGTCATGTGCGGTAGCAATACCAAACCAAATACGAGGAGTAGTGGGGTCCTGAGCTAAGCCTTGGCTAAATCTTGGAAATCTTAATGCCATAATGGCTTTCAAATCCTCCTAGCCATTATCCTACTGCAATAATTCTTGCTAAGAAGAACGCCCATGTTGTGGCAATTCCACCCAGAAGGTAATGGGTTACTCCTATAGCACGTCCTTGTACAATGCTCAAGGCTCTTGGTTGAGTAACAGGAGCAACTTTTAATTTATTATGAGCCCAAACTATGAAGAAATACTTACTAATAGGTTGATGGGATGTATCCCGTCGTAGGTGCTTATCTTACTTTGTTATCAGATATCATGGGTAAGTTAGTAGCTGCCTAGCTGGATAGAGATTAGTTTTGCATGAGAGCTTGAATGTGAAAAAATTGTGAGAATTTGAAAGCCTTGTTTCCAATGATGATTTAGACATTATATTAGAATACATCTCTTAGAAACCTTGCTCTACTTCAGGTGCAGTGTTTTCTTATAATGGCTGACAGATTCATTGTACGAAAATTTATTTGCCTATCTTATCTTCTAAGGAAGTAACTATGGTGCTACCAGGAGAAGAAACAATGGAAGAGAAGCAGGCAAAAGAAGTTTCAGTTGCTTACAATAGCAAGCCTCGAGTACCCGAAGTCATAGTTATGTAGATATGAAATTGTGCTCATATCCAACTAATCATGTTGTATATATCTGCTTATGTCTCATAGATCATACATAGAAATTCCAAAATAGCTCCAGATTCATTTGCTTCTATATTAAAAATTCTTCGCTTGGCCACATAAATTACAGGTGCACAATGCTGTTGCTGTGGCTAGATTACTTAATGCAATAGTTTTTCTTTCGAAAATTATCTACAGCACTATTTGGATAAATAGTGAGTGAAATACTTCATTTCGTACAAAATGGGGCATTAGATTTATATGTAACATTTTTTTTTTCATTTGTTTAACGTACTCTTAATTCTTCACATCAAATTCAAATACATTTTCTTTTACATTTCTAAAGTGACCGTCTATATGTTATTGAAATTGTACAAAGTGCATGCATGGTTTAAATTGCTTATGGTCGATATGCCGTCAATAGATTACTTAATCTCTTCCTCCATTCTAAATACACGAAATTTAATTTGAGTTTTCCTGTTAGGTTTCAATTAGTATTTAACCCTTCCAATTATGGAATTATCACTAGTAGAGATTTTTTCCACAGTGTATCTATTATTGTACTCCGAAAGATAAAAAGTAAAGATGAGACAAGTGGTAATTTTCTTCTTTCTTCATATTCTTTTCATGGTTCATTATTTACTTTATGGGAAAAATCATGTGAAAATTTAACTCATCAAATTCAAACTTACTTCTAAATTCAATCCTTATTTTTCTTATGCTTTCCGTGCAGGATTTTAATGAGTATTCTAGTTGTCTATTTCGATAGCTACTATTAAAAGGAAATGTTAGAATCTCAGGTAATTGTGCACATTATTCCATATTTTTTACCTTAAAAGTGTCCACTAAACACTTCGCAAATTCCATTTTTATTTCTCGCTATTCTCATTTACTGTTACTCTCGGACGTATCCATTTAAATTGGATGACCGATTTGTTTGCCACTAAATACAACCCAAGTATTCTATTGCATTTGATTTCACAATGATGCTCTACAAATTTTATTATTTAGCTCGAGTATGTATGAAATAGTTTATGACAAGTTCAGGTTAAACTATCACAATTTAAGCCACGAACATACATACTTGACCATGTTACTTTTTGGTTCAATACTTATCGCATAAGTCATACCTATGAATTACGATGGTAGAATACAATGCATCATGGAAAGAATTACTTGTATTGCTCAGAATGATCTTCGATTATAAAGCCTTTTGTTAAGTGCACTATAGAGGTTATGACTTGCTCTTTGTATCGTTAGTCACACTCTTGTTAAAAATGGGCCTGCAAGCCTTAAGTGCAAAACCAATTGTAAAGCAAAGAAGGTTATTACTTATTTAGAATTATTAGTCAAATTCATCAACAAGAAAGTAACAGAAGAGTCCAGTTTATGGTTTTGTTGCATTTCTTTCATCAACTTATTACTCAAGTGAAACTGCATTTTGCTCTGTAATTTCCCTTTATGCAGTAAAAGCTCTTTTCTCAGTAAAGGATTCGTATGGAGGGAGAGAAAATTGTTAGATTTATTTGATATATTTTTTATGTTAGCATTCTACGATCACCTAGAAGATTGAGTGTCTGAAATGAACATTATATTCTAAAAATGCTATATAACACTATGGAGGAATAACTTATTGGTTTTCCAAGCCCGTCGACCACATTATTAATTCTGCTACAAATTCAAATTATATGTCGGCCAGTCAGATATCATTTCCTATTGTTTTCTAAGGTCCAAATGGTACTACTGCAGGTGTTGGGGCTCAACATTCCCAGGTATGAGGTTCGTTTCGTCTGTCATTATTTTCTTAACAATATCATGCTTGATGCTTCAGATAAAGTCACTATAATCTTTTGTTAACATCAACGAACTGTTCTCTTGTTTTTTCTTTCTCGTCTGGAATGGTAAAAGGAGTGTGTATGTCCACAAGGATACTTTCTTTTGGTGGGAAAGTCAGCTCAGTTTTTAAATTATGATAAAACTATAATACCCAAAAAAAAAAATATAGATGGTGTACCTTGTGGACTATTTTCACAATCATCCATATCTTTCCATACTTGCTCTATAAGATTAATAAAGAAAGTACTGGACCTGGTAGAAAACTTTGTTAATGCTGTTGCTGTTGCTGTTGCTGTTGCTGCTGCTTTGGTTAAAGAAAAGCACAGTGGGAAGTGTAATTAACTGGAGTCCAACTTTGTACAGATTTATGTAAAGTCAATAAAGAGGTTCTTGAGAATTTAGATAGGTAAGTAGACAATTGCTGTCTTTATGTCCTAAAATTATTTATAAGAAGCTAAAATATAGCGAATTGATGCCGACAATTAAATTGTAAGATGAGATTTCCTTATATTCTGTTCGAACAATATCGTTGTTTGGAAAATATGCTTCACCTCATTCTTCTTGTAAATAAGTAGTATCTTAAAATACTATAATTTACGTTAGTATAATAAATTCTAACATGAGTGAGATGTTGAATTTGACATATCTAATTTTATATTAGATTGAAATATATTAACCTTATCGTAGTATACATCATCTATTTGTCATTCTTTAATTTTTACTTCATCTATCTATCTACGATTTTATATCTTACTATTTTGGTCCAGTTGAAATTCTCTACATCAGTTAGCTTTTTTATTGCAAATTCATTTATTTGGAGATGGATGGTTGAAAATTGGTTCAAACAGACATTTGTTCAAAATGTAATTCATGAGAATTGAACATATTTAACACAAGTGCAATGCACAAGGAAATGACTAGTATATGAAAAGGTGACACAATGTCATTTATTAAATTTGACTGACTTTTTTTATTAAAAAGTGAAAATTTGGTATTTGCCACTAAAAATGGGTAACGAAAATTCAAAAAAGTAATCAATAATAAAAATAATTGACAGAAATTAAAAGAAGTGATACGTTATTCAAAATTGTGAGATAATCTCCCGAATGGTCACTGGACTTTGTTGAAGTCTCCCCAAGAGGTCACCAAACTTCAAAATTTCCCTAAATAGTTATTGAACTTTGCTGAAGTCCCTCAAGAGGTTAGCAAACTTTAAAATGTTCCTAATTGATCATTGAAATTTGCAAAAGTCTCTGGAAGGTCACTTAACTTTGCAAATTGGGGTCGCATATATCACTAGTTTAGTGACATTTCAGGGATTTTTTTGCAAAGTTCAGTGACCGCTTAGGGACGTTTTGAAGTTTAGTAATCGCTTGGAGACTTCGACAAAGTTCAATGACTATTTAGGGACGTTTTGAAATTCAATGACCTCTTGGGGGGACTTCGACAAAGTTCAGTGACCATTAGGGGGATTATCTCAAAAAAAGTTACCAACGCTCAAAAGAGTGATAAAACGTCAATAAAAAATCTAAGTTTGTCGTGAGGTCTAGGCAAAAAAATAAAAAAACTGATCAAGCTGTTCAAGAAATTATCTTACGAATTAAAATCACCGTAAGTATACGAGTCGTAAACAAGTAATAAAGTGGATTTTGAGTACAAGTATCGTCCTACGGAGATTACATTAGTTAAATTTAAATTATCTTCGCCTTAACCAAACAATAGAAATTCGTGATTTTTTGCTAACTAATTATGATTTAATAATCTACTTATAAATGTAAGGTCTAAGTTAATCAAACTAAATGCGTGATTATAACTAAATGCAAGCATTATAAAAATATGATGAAGGAATGCGTACTAGGAACTCGAATCCCATTATATCAATCCCCTTTAACCTAAATTTTATAAATTTGTGTATATATATAATCTTATTAAAATAAGAGAACATTATGCTAACATGTAAAAAATGCAGTAAGTCCTCTGCACCCCATATAATGAATTTCTAACTCATAATATTAAAAAATAATATAGAATTAAGGAGTTCAAAATTTTTAAGAAACATCATATGACTTGCCTACAGTATAAATGAAAGTTCAGCCGCTTCACCTATGTCTGCCTTATCCTCTTTTTTCTTCCTTTGTGATTCTAATTCAACTACAAAGAGTTCAACCTCTTTTTCACCTTAAATCACAAAATCAATGAAATCGAAAGAATTATATGCTAATTTCATAATTTCATTTTTACTGAATGCCACTAATTCGTTTAGTTCCTTCACTATTAGTTCTTCGGTCTCTATACGCTAGTTCTTTTATTTAGTTATTTCCTAAGATTGCCATTTTTAGATCATGTTTATTCGATTTTCAAGTTATATATATATATATATATATATATATATATATATATATATATATATATATATATATATATATATATATATATATATATATATATATATATATATATATATATAACTTGAAAAACTTGAAAATTAAGCCCTTGTGTTGTAGACAAATTAGGAGTCCAAATCATGATTAACTTTGTACCAAATAGAGTCCAAACTAAGGCCAATATTTTTTTAGTTTCATTTCCTTCAGTCGGCAGAATCCCTTGCATTTACCATTCCCATACGCCACTAAATTTTGTTATCCAAGCGCACTCAAGGCCTAATTTCAATTCCAACGCACAATTTATCTTCCAAGTCATCCAATCTTTCAAGTGATGCATTTTAGTCCTTCAATTCCTTTCTCATATTTCTAGACCACCTTTTCCATTTCTTTTTCTTCCAAAACCTCGTGTCTTCAATCAATTGGTACTTAGCTCATTCACTTCCTCGATTTGTCCTTCGGGTCATTTTCGATTAGTTTCACTTTGGTCCCTAAACTTCCACTTTCTTCCATTTTGGTCCTTTTTCGTATCTTTTCACGTGAATTCCATAGGATTAAGCCATATTCAATCATTTTTATCAATAATTAATCATGTTTTGTGAACCAAATAAGTGTGTAAAAAAACGCTTTTCAAACCCCACAAACTTGAACTATTGTTTGTCTTCAAACAAGATAATGATGTAACTCCACACAAACATGGCTTAATAACCTACCATGTTTTAGGATTGGAATTCAATAATCAACATAGGAAACAGTTTCAATAGTACAAGAATAAAATCAACATTTACTTGTTAGATGCAAGACTCAACGTGTGTGAGTGAACTCATGCCAACATCTCAATCTCATGATTGGTTTAATCCCGACCCAAAGTGGTCTAATATCTCCTTAATTATACACACCCCCAAAACTTATTCTTTTCACTTAATTATCCTCGGGTGTATTCTAGAGTTAGGAATTTAAGCGTCTACAGTCCTTGCCCTCTCCTAGCTGAATAGATCTCACTATCACAGGTCACATGTCAACAAGTAAAGACTCTCCTAGTTTTGATTGCTTCAACCCTTGAGATTAAACTAAGTTACTTGTCTTGCCTCAAAGGTGTAGTTTTATCATCCAAATGTTCAAGGGCTTCTTTCACACTATTGTGTCTTTTATTTATTTATTTTCAATTTCTTCTTCTTTTCTATTGCCATCTTCTCATTTGCATTCTATATAACCCCTGTAACGAGTTTTGGGCCGATGACTCCCAAACCAATTGTCTTTAGGACACCAAGTTTTAAAGTATTGTAAGCTTATTCACTCGAGTTATAATAGTTCGATCATATGACTTTTTATTAACATCTTCCCTTGCTTTCTATATGACCAATGTAGAGAGCTTTAAGTCGGTGACTCTCAAAATAATTGACTTTGGGGCACTAGGTTTTGAAAGACCCTTACATGCTTACTTACTCGAGTCATAAAGGCTTCGAGAGAAGTGTTATTTTCGTACAAATAAATTTTATGCCTTTTATTTTTTTCAGATATTTAGTCTTCAAAATCAACCCCCAATTTAAGACTTTCATATAGTCTTCATCACATTGGTCTAAGCAATCCACACAACAAAATTCATGCATAGAGCCCCCACTTATCTCAATGTTCCCCTATAATTGGTCAACCATCTCCAAACTGTCTTAAGGTGGTTTACGAGTTAATTCAATAGAGGGTTATCGTTCTTTTCCTACTTTATGTTCAAAACCCCAATCATTAACTTAACATGTAAAGCATGAGCAGCGTCCACGAAGAATTGTCAAGTGTTACATCAAAAAATCTAGGTTAATCAACTTCTGTACCATATCAACAGTTTTTAATTATATTATTACAATTATCACATCATAGCCGGTAAGGCTATCAAGCACACAAACTCATAAAAGAAAAAGACAAAACATGCCAATTTTTCACTTCTTTTCCTTTTCTTTTTTTTTCACTCAACAATCCCACAGAAAACAAAAATTAAACATAGTTATTAATGAATATGAACAATGCGATGAAAAATGGAAACCGAAATTATGCTACCCCTAAACTTATTCATAATATTGCCCTCAATGTGAAAGTAAAATAGAAGTTTAAATAGGCATAATTGAAGGACAATAATAAACTAAAAGTGCAAAATGGGGTACGAGTACTCCCCTGATCTATATAGAGGTGGTGAATGAAAACTGGGACCCACAATACCGTCTTCTTTCCCTGTGACATTCTTTTTTACGGCATTAAATCCCCAACTTGCTTCAAGGTGCAAGTATACATTGTTGGCATGTAAAATGCATAAATTATGTCTCAATATAGAGTTCATATCACAAAAATGTGAATCGCCAATGAAACTTAGCTCTAAACATGCACTTTGTTCAATTTGACCCATGACTGATTAAAACAAGACTTCAACCTCATGACTCGTGCTCAATGCATAGGGACTCGCGTGGATTGTGCTTAGGCTATTTATTCACATGCATGGATGAACGGTGACCTAAAATATAAACAACGCAAACACAAAAGTGAAAGATTCCTAAACTAATGCATAAAGCAAATTAACTTAAATGGATATAGTGGGTTGCCTCCCACCCAACGCTAGTTTATAGTCGATGGCTCGACTTTTTCACGTCTGCTTCAATTTGGTGTCTCGAGTTGAACGGTAGACTTTTGCTTGGAAAAGTCACCACCCTGGTAATGTTTCAGCCTTTGCCCATTAATTGTGTAGGTACCTTTAGTTTCATGGCTGACTTCTAGAGGCCCATATGGTAAAACCTTTGTGACAGTGTAAGGACCCAACCACCTCGATCTTAATTTTTCCCAGAAAAGCTTAAATATCGAGTTATATAATAGAACTTTCTGCCCCAACTTAAACTCTCATATCTGAATGTGTAAGTTATGCCACTTTTTGGTGCGTTCTTTGTAAACTCTTGAGTTTTCATATACTTCCATCCTGAATTCATCTAATTTATTAAGTTGTAGCCTTCAAATCCATGTCTAACTATTTCATAGCCCAATATGCACGGTGTTCCAACTCTACTGGCAGGTGGCACGCTTTTTTCGAAAACAAGGCGAAATGGAGACATGCCTATGGGTGTCTTGAACGTCGTTCTGTAGGCCCACAGTGCATCATCCAACTTTTTAGACCAATCTTTCCTCGAACTTGATA